CATCCCCCAGCTCCTGTCCCCAAGCCTGGCAGTGGGTGATGCTCCTTGGTGCAGAGCTCTGCAGCTGTGAGCAGCCCTGGGGTGAAGGGGATGCTGCCATCCCGTGTTCCAGAGAAGCTCACTGTCCCCTGTGTGTCTCTCCCCACAGTGTCTCTGCAAGGACCAGCTCTACCCTCTCATTGGTTTCTTTGGGAAGGGCTACGGGAGGAACAGTGAGCCCCTCCGTGGCTACATGCTCACCTACGTCATCGCCATTGGCTTCATCCTCATCGGTGGGTACTTGCCACCCTGGCACCCTGCTGGAACCTGGCACCAGCCAGTGGCTCTGTCCCTGCCACTGACAGCTCCTCCTGCTCCCACAGCTGAGCTCAACGCCATCGCCCCCATCATCTCCAACTTCTTCCTCTGCTCCTACGCCCTCATCAACTTCAGCTGCTTCCACGCCTCCATCACCAACTCGCCAGGTGGGCAGTGCCAGGCCAGGCCGTGCCCCGTGGCCGGTGGCTCGGTGCGGAGCCGTGGCGGCAGCGGCCGCTCTGTGTGTTTGCGTGCAGGCTGGCGACCCTCCTTTCGGTATTACAGCAAGTGGGCCGCGCTCTTCGGGGCCGCCGTCTCGGTGGTGATCATGTTCCTGCTGACCTGGTGGGCGGCCCTCATCGCCTTCGGCATCGTCATCTTCCTCCTGGGATATGTCCTCTACAAAAAGCCGGGTGCGTGGCACTGCCCCGGCACAGCGACGCCCCAGGAGGTGTCTGGGCCCATTGCTAATCCATCTTCCCCCTGCAGATGTCAACTGGGGCTCCTCCATGCAAGCCAGCTCCTACAACATGGCCCTCAGCTACTCGGTGGGGCTGAGCGAAGTGGACGAGCACATCAAGAACTACAGGCAAGGGCAGCCCAGTGCTGGGCAGGGAGGGAGGGGGATGCAGAGCCAGCCACCACACCCAGTAAACCCAGGATGGCTTTGTGCCCGTGGCCACATCCTCACCACCACCCTCAGTAACCAGGAGCTATGGCAAAATGTGTGTCTCCAAAATCCCATGTCTGTGCCGTGTCAGCAGAGGTGGAAAGCTGAGCAAACCCTGCCCTCCCTGTACCAGGCAGATGCAGACACACTGGTCTTTTTATATCAGACGAGACCAAAGAGTGAAACTGGATCCTCAGCTATATGATTTTTTCTCATCCTAAAGATGCTCCCTGTAGTTACTGCTGGCCTGGCATGGGAGGAGAGCTGCAGATCATTCCAGAGAGCTGCCTCCAAAGCACCATCCCTCACTCCCTTTCCCTCCTGTCCACAGACCACAGTGCCTGGTGCTGACTGGCCCGCCCAACTTCCGCCCAGCCCTGGTGGACTTTGTGGGGACCTTCACCAAGAACCTCAGCCTGATGCTCTGTGGCAATGTGCTGATCGTGAGTCACCTGCAGAAAACAGCTGGTTCCTTGTCCTGGGGGCTCCGGCCACCCACAGATGGTGGGCTGGGAAATCCAGATGTGTCCTGGTGGGCCCACGGGGTGGGGATTGAACTGTGCCCACTTATGTGCTGCTGTATGATGGAGTGTGTTGACTGGAAGCCTCTCTGAGTTGTTAAGCAATATTGGTGAAGCACTGGGATGACCTTGTGGGCTAAAGGCTTCCCTTTGCCAATTAATCACCAAAGATTCGGTAGGATGAGGCAGCTGCTCAGAGGATGGGGGGTCCTGCAGCCCAGAACCTCCAGAGCAATTGGGTGCAGTAAGAGCCAGCTCATCCATTGCCATGGGACTGCTGGCACCGTGTGCACTGGCTGTCCACTCACTGGATTCACTGCTTTTCTTGCCATGATTGCAACCTCCCACATGTGCAGTGGTTACATCCACCACTTACCAATGATTTGGGAAGAGAGGAGCTAGAGGTCCTTGGTGGCAAGACCACCAGCTGTGAGAGGCTGCCTGAGCCCCTGCCCCTGCTTCCTGCAGGGCCCACGGAAGCAGAAGATGCCAGAGTCCAGGCTGACGGCAGATGGCCACGCCAAGTGGCTTATGAAGAGGAAGATCAAGGCTTTCTACACGGATGTGGTGGCTGAGGATCTGAGAAGCGGAGTCCAAATGCTCCTCCAGGTAGGGTAGAGCCATCTTTGGCTGTTGATCACCAGGGTGCCTCCTCTTTCATCACAGCTCGGGGGGCTCTGACCCCCCTTCCCAACCTCCAGTCAACCCTTTGTGTCACTGCCCCGTGGACTGACACCACTCGTGTCCATCTGTCCCTGAAGAAGGGTCTCATGGGGACACCTATCCGTAGGCTGCCGGCCTCGGGAAGATGAGACCCAACATCCTAGTGCTGGGCTACAAGAGGGACTGGCGGACGGCGTCTCCGCAGAGCCTGGAGGACTACGTGGGCATCCTGCAGTACGGCCACGCCGGCTCCTCCCGGGGCACCAGCACCTGGTGGTGGCCCCGTGGCTGCTGTGGGGGACGCTGCAGCCACATGTGCAGGGTCTGGCCGGGCTGGCACTGCTGCCCCCGTTAACTGCCTCCTCCTCCCTCCTTCCAGCGACGCCTTTGATTTCAAGTACGGCGTGTGCTTAATGAGGATGAAGGAAGGGCTGAATGTTTCCCGAGTGCTGCAGGCACACGGTAAGTGATTTTGGGGTGCTCAGTGGAGTTGTGCCAGCCAGCACCATGTCCCCACACCATGTCACAGTCCTGGGGGGGATCAAAGGGGACTGGACAGTGAGGTGCTGCCGTGCTGCCCATGCTCTTCCCCTCCCTCCTCAGTTAACCCCACGTTCGAGGCAGCGGAGCACCCCGAGAACGGCACTGCCAGCAGAGCAGCCCCAAGCACAAGTAGGTTTGTCCTGGCTCTGGGCCATCTGGAGCATTCCCAGCTCTGAGGATTTTTTTTGGGTAGCCAGGTTAGCAGGGAGGGGCGTGGGTTTCAAGCAGTGATGGGGAGCAGGGCTGGGACCAGGAGGAAGTGGTGCCTTTGATCTGCAGCCGGCGGTGCCCCTTGCTGACATGGGGACCCCCTTGCCCCGGCAGTGGACTGCACCGCCCTGGCCGGCGAGCAGCAGGCGAGCACCATCTTCCAGAGTCAGCAGGGCAAGAAGACCATCGACATTTACTGGCTCTTCGACGACGGAGGTAACCTTCCCCTTGGGCTGCTGTGGCTCTTTGCTGCCCATCTGTCCAGATAATGTGAGCCCAGCACCTCCATCGTGGTGCCCAGGAGGGCTCGCTCCTTGCCCAGTGGTGCCAGGGCATCCCTGGCATTTGGCATCAAGAAGGCACTCTTGAGCCTGGGGGTTACTGCCACGTCTCCCATGGGATGTTTTGGGACAGGTCTCACGCTGCTCATCCCATACCTCCTGGGGCGCAAGAAGCGGTGGGGGAAGTGCAAAATCCGGGTGTTTGTCGGTGGGCAGATCAACAGGATGGACGAGGAGAGGAAGGCGTAAGTGCTGATGGCCCCACAGCCCCTCTTAGCCCCTTGACCGCTGCCACTGTCCCCAGGGTGGTGGCAGGAGCTGCCTCCCTCCCGCTCTGCATCCCATGGGATCTGTGAGCTCTTACTGGGCTGCTTTGCCTCACTCCTTTGAAAATCAGTGTGGGAAAACCTGAAGTGCAAACCAAGGCCGATGGCAGGGCTTTCTGCCACAGCAAGTCCCTGCCAGAGCTGCCATTCCCTGCTAATTTTGGGAAAATGTGTCCTTTTCCCTCTGGCAGGATTGTCTCTCTGCTGAGCAAGTTCCGCCTTGGCTTCCACGAAGTCCACATCCTCCCTGACATCAACCAGAAACCCCGGCCAGAGCAGTAACGGCCCCATTCCCCTTCCCCCTGCCTCCCCAGTCCTGCCCAGCCCCTCTTCCCAGTCACCATCTGCTTGTCTTGCAGCATCAAGAGGTTCGAGGACCTGATCGCTCCCTTCAGGCTCAACGACGGCTTCAAGGACGAGGCCACCGTGAACGAGATGAGGCAGGGCTGTCCCTGGAAGATTTCTGATGAGGAGGTTGATAAAAACAGAGCCAAGGTAGCACCAGTCCTGGGGGAAGGGGGTCCTGCAAAGGGTCTCCTGCTTTTTAGACAAAACTTGGTCTTTTTGGAAACCTTAATTTTGGGTTTGCCAACTCTCTTCGCTCGGCAGTCGCTCCGACAAGTGAGGCTGAACGAGATTTTGCTGGATTACTCACGGGATGCAGCACTCATAGCCATGTAGGTGCCAGCAACACCCTCATGCCCGTTCCTTCCCCCCTTCCTGGGGGGGAAATCCCAGACAGACACCCTAATGCTGTGGTGGGATGGTGCCACAGCACAGGGAAAAGCCCTTGGAAGGCACCAAGGGGTCTGGCCCGGGTCCTATCGGGGGGGAGGACGCGGAGCTGCCCCTTTCTAGGGAAATAACCTGCAGTGGAGGGGGTGAGGGCTGTGGCCGGGCTGTGGCCGTGCCTCAGCAGCCCCCCTGTGCCGCAGCACCCCGCCCATCGGCAGGAAGGGCCGCTGCCCCAGTGCCCTCTACATGGCCTGGCTCGAGACCCTCTCGCAGGACCTGAGACCCCCCGTCATCCTCACCCGAGGAAACCAAGAGAACGTGCTGACCTTTTACTGCCAATAAAACCTCCTGGATCCCCCCCGGCTCGGCTGTGAGTTTTTCAGGCCAGTTTTGATCTCTGAGCACACTCATCTCATCTCATCTCAAGGGGGACAGCCCCAGGGGCAGGGAGCAGGTCAGCACCAAGCTCAGCAGCTGCAGGGACCCTGCAGGCCCCTTTGGGGACAGGGATGACAGCTGAGCCTACCCTGACAGCTGAGCAGGAGCGAGATGTCACCTCAGGCTGTGGTGCCTGGCTGCAGGCCCAGGTCCAGCTCCTAATGGAGACATCATTAACCACCAGAATTGAGACATTTCCTGGTGCAGATGGCCCCTGGCAGGAGAAACCTGCCCCGAGCGAGGTAGGAGCAAGGCTCATTTCCAAAGACACAACCCAGGCCCCTTTGTCACATTGCAGGAGAAACACATGACATCGTTCACTCCAATAGTTACAGAATTTACTGATAATCACCACCAGGATTAGAAGTGTCAGTAGAAAAATAAAATTTACAGAATTTTCGATCATATAAAGATTTGTTCATGACAGCCACGGTCGCGAGCAAGAGAGGAAGCCGGGTGAGAGCAAGGGGGAAGCTGCACACAGAGAGCAGGGCCATGAGCTCCCACATGAGCCAAGGGTTCCTCTAGGACAAGTGGCTTCCCTGGAAGGTGTTTCCTTGACCAATGCACTGGCTGGGCTCCCTGGCAGGGCCTCCCAGCTGTCCAGCCGGGGACACCTCGGCGTTGACATTTTTGCAGGCTCTTTGCAGCTTTTGGCAAGTCTGACTGAGCAAAGTCTACCACTACCTGCTGAAAAGGGATTCCTCCACACACCTCCCCTGGGATAAAGGAATGGAAAGGGAAGGCCAAACCAGTGAGAGGGGAGGAAACTGCCTTCAGTGACTGACCTGGGGCTTCGACTCAAGGCTATTCCTCCTTCCTGTTTGGATCTGGTTTTACTGGAGAGGGAGGTTGGGAAGGCAGCTGGGGGAGTGGAGGATGCTCTGTGAGCACCAAGATGACAGAAAGAACTTGCCCTCAGCGCTAATACCTGTCAAGACAAATCAAAAACTGATTGTTTGCCTTTTATGTGAGAATTCCCTAAAAATTTCTCAGTGTCTGGGCACAGAGAGACACCACCAGCTCCAACCACTCCACATCCAAACAGCAGTCAAGCTGCCAGTTCTCCAAGTAAACCAGAACCATCTCAAAGCAAGAGTTTGGGAGACCTGAATGGGTAGAGAATGGGAGTTTTTCAGTTTGCCCAGCACTGAGTGATTTTACTGAGCAATGTTTCGTTTGTTCTGGGCTCTGTAGCAGCCCCATTTGTGTCCTGCATTCCTCAGCCCCATTCCTGCAGAGGAACCATCCTCGTGCTGGAACACAGGGCACGGATAAAGTGCTTTCCCAGTTGCAATCAGCTTAGTGGCTACTGAGGGATGCCAGGCACTGGGGCAGGGGAAAGGGGAGCACAGCAGGTGCCTGGACATGGGTTTCTGGCATCATCTGAAAGGTAAGGCCAGACCCACCCAATCCAAGTCCCATGAGAGACTTTCAATCCATCCAGGAAGACTCAGGGTAATTCCTGTGAATTAAACCAGGCACTCCAGACATGTGCTAAGAAGTTGTAAGGGGGAAAGACAGTAGAGAGATCACTGTTCCTGCTTTTTCATTGCTTCTGTCCCCAAAGAGGGCAGGAGAGGCCCAACCTCCCCCCAAGGCTGTCCTGGCTCTCTACAAACAGCACGGCACACGGGGCACTCCACAGATCCAGGGTTCAGTGCAAGTAACACCACTTGGACCTCACCCACCTAAGGAGAAGGATTCACATTAAACTCTTTCCTAAAATGCACAACTTTATACCCTGAATTGGGCTAAAATTTAATCTCAGTAAGTAGCTCCTGCAAAACACCTCTTGCCAGCAACAGACCACTCAGGAGAAGTTGATGCAGAGAGAAATCCTTTCCCATGATAAACACAGTGCCTTATTGAGGGATCACAGAATCATTTAGTTTGGAGAAGCCCTCTAGGATCATCGAGTCCAACCTCTGAGCGATCACCCCCTTGTCCACTCGGCCATGGCACCGAGTGCCACGTCCAGTTGTTTCACACAGAGGACACGGGCTCATGGAGGGTCAGTGGCCTCAGGGAGGGAGCTGGTTTGGAGACCAAAGGACTTCAGCAAAGACACAAAAAGGAAGTGTGTCCCACAAGGCTGGATGCAGATGGTGCCTTCCTTCCGCAGCTGGGAACAAACAAACAAGGACACAGCAAACCCCTGGGGCTGCCCACACCACCCCACATCCCTGGGGTTCAACCCCAGCTTCCCCGGAGAACCGAGCCCTTGGGAAGCACCTGAGCTGCCCCAGCCACGTGGCACAACTGGGTACAAGAGCAGAGCCACCAGTTAAGTAAAAAGTCACTTAAAGCCAAAGCAAACTAAAACAGCCCATGAGGAGACTGTTCTGCCAGCTAAGGGTTGGTTTGGGGCTGTGTTTGGTCATTTCCCCTGCACAGCCCTCACAGCCACAGCTCCCAGACACAAATCTGCACCCTCATCCATCTAAATTGAGTTTTCCTTTTTGCTGCTCTCAAAATCCACTAAGACTATGACCTGGTATGAAGGAGTTTGGGCTGGGAAGAAAACAAATTAATTTTTTAATCTAAAGAAAATTCACATTAAAAGAGCTTCAGGTTCACTGAGAACAAAGCAACAGCAGGTCAAAGCACCAAGTGAGCTTTGAGCACACCGTGTCACTCTGTGGTCCTGCTCCCACTCCAGCACAGCCAGTGTCACATCTCAGTTATGTCCCGTGGCTACAATTCATCACTGCTAAAAGGTATGTGGGCCTCCCCCTCCAGAAGCCATCTTCCTACCCTCCAGAGAAATAAGTTTCACTTGGCACTTAATGTTACCAAAAAGTAACAAAATTCACAATTTTCAGCTTAATTCCAAGCCACACTAGAGGCAGGAGCAGGCCCTCACAATTCCTTAAATCAGTGGAGGAAGCACAAGCCCCGAGCTGTGCTCCCTGGGATTTGTTCCAGAGGCAGAGCAGGTGCCAGGTCCTTCACGCCCACTCCGGTTTGTGTCCTCCAGCCTCCCCAGGGGGAGCTACAGCGTGGCCAGGATGCGCAGGAACGACACCACCACCACGCAGAAGGTCTGCCCCACACCGAAAATGAGGGCCTCGAAGGGGATCATCTTTTTCCCCGCAGCTCTGTAAACTCCAGCAAAGGCAGCGCCTGTGGGGAGGCGAAAAGCCAAGATGTGAACGTGGCACACGCTGCTGCGCCACAGGGATGGACGGGAAGGCTCGGGATATAGAAACGGGGCAGGGAACAGGGTCAAACGCGGGGTAAGGGGGGAACAGGGCCAGAGCGTTCATCTCCACGCCGGGGAACG